TGGGAGATATGCCCTGGGGGCTCCATGGACACAATTATTGGCAGACATATGGTGGTGGGTTATGGCTTGATGAGTTTGATATGTATATTGTGAATCACTTTGATTCGATTCAAAATTGAAATGTTGATGTGTCCATATGAATCTAAACTCAAATGAGTTCGATTTCATTTATGGTTTATCAATTTTTCTATTTAGTCTCAATGCACGCAAGAAGTCGTGTGTTGAGCTAGATAGACCATTACCAATACTAATTATTTTCTCGCTTAAGGTAATGTTTCGTTTAATGGTTTCTTTGCGATTAAGTTATAGTTAATAGTTTGACCGTTATCAAATACTAAGCTCAAATTAAAATTGGTCAAAAAAATAATTAAGCGGACTTTTTTACCCTTTCAATCGGCAATAGATTCTGAACGTGAATGATGTTTTAACTTGCTTACTTTTGATTCCTGAAATGCCGAGGTATTTGAATCGATAATTGTAACTCACTATTGGCAAATCAAAGACCTCGAGTTCACGGATAGCAAGTAAATTATAAAACGGTCAAAGTGGTGTTTTATTCTCTTTTGCCAGATTGTGCATAGAATTAAAATCTTGCACAAATTGATCGAGTCCAATACACTTTTTGATATACCAAGTGTACTAGAATGACTACTCTCGAGATCATTTCACCACGATCAAGTCAAACCACATAATCCAAATTCATAGAGCAACAACTTTTACAGTTTTTACGTAATAGAGTTTCTACATCTTATTCTACGATTTTGAACAATTAAATTCTTTATAAAATAGTGTCTTCCGTACTAACCATTCTATTTTATAATCCACTCATCAATCAAAGATACTATATACACATGCTCAAAATATAATGTAACTCCATTTAATCAAAGTAAATAAAAACATATTATTTATTTAATTACATTCGAAATATTTGTTGTATTATAGTAGTTTTTTATAGTCCTGCTATAATGACATTAAAAAATGAATTTTGGAATAGTGATTGATGGAAGAATGTGTGATTGAAAAGTAATGAAAAATTTTAGATTTGTGTGTAATATTATTTTATTTAGAAAATGTGTAGTTGCAATAAACAAAGAGAAAAAAACGAGAATGACAATGAGTGTCAAACATGGCCAACAATTTTTTTTTTTTACCGTGTATGAGGTGGCACACTTTTTTACACTTGATTTTGATAACACTTAAAATAATAAAATTCACGGCACAATGCCCCCGTTTGGCACCCATTAATTTCTCATTCTCATTCCCATTCTCATTCTTCATTTCAACCACACATTTTTCAAATAAAATAATATTACACACAAATTAAAAACTTTTCATCACTTTTCCACCACACATTCTCANATACAGCCGTGTGTCCAACTTCGTTTTCCCCGCGTCAAATTTGTTCGGCATATAATCCTTATCATCATGTAGTAAATACTCAGCATATTTGATTGTGATGATGCCGCAAATGTGGCTGAAAAATAAAATAACATAATTTATTAGGAAACCATTTTTGTTCTGGTAGTATGAATTTCCAAAGCTACAGCAGGAGTTTATATCAAGCCACAGATGCAAAATAACAGATGTCACATGCATAAATCACATAATACACTCAGGTCACATACGCGCATAATCATATAACATGTGATGACATTATGTCACAGATACAATATAATCTCCATAATATGTGTGAGGTAGGTCACAGATCCATTATACTCTCTATGAAATTCACTTCCAAAAAAATGACCTAAATGAATTGTATTCATATTTTGTGACCTTTGCAGATTGCCTGCACATGTTTCAGAAACTTGTGTTGCTATAAAGCGAAAAAAATAAAAAATAAATAACAATTAATTAGTGAAACTCTAAATTTTTGTTTTTTAAGAGCTACTAAAACAATTTGATATCAATTCCACCATAACTCTTTTTACACCACCTATTCATTTAAATCACTCTACAAACAGATCTATGAAGAAAGTTATCTTCAACGCATAATCTATTCCAAAGGCATTTGCTTATAAATACGTGGAC